CGCTTGGAAAACTGAGTTTTTTTGCGAGCCTTTTTGAAACCAATTTTTTTTCTTTCCACTTTTCGGGCATCCCGAGTTAGCAGTGAAAAACTTTTGAGAGTGGTCTTATATTCTGGGGAAATTTTTAATAAGGCTCGGGTCACGCCCAATCTAATCGCTTCGGCTTGGCTATGAAAACCACTTCCTTTTACTCGCACTAATAAATCGTATTCATTTTCTTTGTTGAATAATTTGAGCGGATGGTAAATATCCTCGCAAAGGGAAGGCTCCATATAAAAATAATCTTTTAAGTTTTTTTCTTTTCCATCATTAGTTCTGACTTGAGCCTGTCCTTTGCCTTCTTTTAAATAGACCCGAGCAGTTGCTTCTTTGCGGCGTCCTACGCCAATGTAGTAATTGTTATTCATTAATTATTTTTATTCCTTTTTCGAACAAAATAAACAATCAATCCCGTTAAAATAGCTATTCCGGCTCCCACCGCTAAACCAATGACCAGTTGGTGATTATTTGGTTTTGGATTATTGATATTAGTAGAATTATTATCAGAACTAACACCTAAACTTTTGCTGGTAATTATTTTTTCATTATGTTCTTGGCAGTATTTTTTTAAGGCTTGGTATTCCTGGTTATTATTTGTCTCAACCAAAGTAGTTTGGTGGTTATTAAACTCGATGGTTAATTCCCCATTTTCAAAAGTTATTTTTTTAATATTTAATTTTTGGAAAATGTTTTTTAATTTTGCTAATTCTTTATCATTTGTTTTTTGACTATTAACTAGCAAGGGCGAACCACTTATCAGGGCTTCAATTTCGGCTCAATTTCTTGTAATTGACAGATTTTTTCAATGTCGTCGTCCGGTTTTTTGGTGCCTGATTGTTTTTTCAGTTCAATGAGTGTGTTTTTTCTCCTCAATTTTTCATTCCGAGGGATTTTGCTTGATTTCATTAATTAATTCTCGCACTATTTCTCAATAATCCTCTGCTGATAACTGATTTTCTAAATCTATTTTTTCACTATCTATTTCTATTTGCTTGACCTTACCTCACCATTCTTTTCATTCGGATGTGTAAGAACCATATACTCCTTTGCTTAAATAATAATCGGCTTCATTATGTTTTAATATTTCAGCATTAGTTAATTCGCCTGTTGGGTCTAAACATATTTTATCCAAGTTTCGCAATAATTTTTCTTTTATTGTGGAGGAAACTGGCTGGTTATTACTTGGTGCTGTTGGGTCATGAGTAATTATCTCCCCCTCTTCATTGAAAACTCGGATTTCCGGAACTTTGTCAGCCGAATTATTTAAGTCTAATCGCTTGTTG